TGGAAATTAACACAGTTGTGTAGACAAATAATACATTAATGGAATGGGCTTGCTACAATCTTCTTGTTACACACCAAGATTGTGACAATCCACATTCTTGTAGTAGAGTATTTCTAACAATCTTTACGTTCACCCTGTCAGGTATATTATACACAATAACATTTTGCATACACTGAAGTCTTTTTAACACTTCAGATGATATATGGTTAATTACTTTTTCGGCGTTTTCAATAACTTCGAGATCAGGATTTTCTGGAATATTGACTAAATATTTGTACGGTAATAAATCTTGGATAGTTTGGGTGAAGCTGAGTTCTGTTTGGCTGCTATTAGTGATGAGATTATTGGAATGTATATCAAAGTTTTTAAGGCCGATATGGTTACACACAGACCTGTTGCAGGTGTCTACCGGATGATCGCCTTGTGAATAGTTATTTGGGGGATGGAGTACATATCTGGGTAAGTAGTCAAGGTCTACATCATCGGGCTGGCTATTGTAAGCAGGCTTACATGTACTCCGTGGACCGCTACTCAGGATGGCCGATTGTAAAATATTCGAGTGTTTGGGGTCGGCCGAACTGTTCAAATACTGCTCACTACATGTGATGCTATTATTTGGACTGACAAATGATGTCGACTCTAACGGCATATGACTGCTCTTATTTATATCTACAAGCGATAAACAAGGTAGTGAAATGTCGTGCCCAAGTAAACGGTGCCCGTTTATTGTTGCTGAGGGAAGATCAGAGTAGGATGCAGACTGATCAGTGTGTTTATAAGTTTTCACATTATTCGCTTTAGTGACTGATTTAGATATTTTGCAAGCGCTATAGGCGTCAGGAGAGATTGCATGTTTTTTAGATGGCCGGGACATTATTGTAAGTAATGGGAGTATGAAGTTTAATTTAGTGAACAGTGACTGCTATAATTTCACTTGATAGACGTGTAAAGTTTAATGGTAGGATCAGATCCAGTAATAGTTAAGATCAAATATATTAACGTTAATTGGTGAAAATAGAAAGCGTGAAAACTAACAAAATTAATGTATGACGTTGACAGGACCCTATCAGTGACGAGTTATTTATCGTTAATAAAGGTTAAATTAAAGGGAAAACCCAATGGGAAAATAAAATAATACCACGTGAAAAAAGTTACAACCTTCAAATAATGCGCGTAAATTTTTAAAAATTTGAATGGTAGTCATTTGACGAACTTATTGATGAATGTTCAAAAATTTATATGACAATATCGATTATATATATTTGTATATATACGTTTTAAATTGTTTTTGTTAGCTCGCTCGTTTCTAATTGTTGCAGAATATACTTCCATTCTAAGCTTGGTCTTCTCTCTCTAGATAGCGAGGCTGGGACGCGTCAATAGTTAACTTACTGGTCTTGGTCATCAAATTTCGTTCTCGTTCGCAATTTAAGTGAACTGGTGATAGCTTCAACTCTAACAAAAATCAAAAGTTGAAAAAATGATACATAATGTTCCAACAAAGAACAGACTCACGGCTTACTGTATATAATCGAAGTATGCCAATCCAGTCAAATCAGAAGTCAGACGTGAAGAGGTGCGAGAAATATTTGAAAGGATATCGATAATATCGAGTAACGTTTAGTCTAATCTGGATAACGGTCGCCAGGGATGTGTAGCATCATGTACTCACTCATTATGTGTTGCGGATGCTTCATTAATCTTCTTCAGCTAGATGTGTCCTGGGAAACTAATGAGGTCAGCATCAAATGTCGAGGGCGTATAGAACTATTCATTTTGTGGATTTATTTACTGCCAAAGGACGTTTTCGTTCTGTTGCCGAGACTCAAGATACTGAAGTCACTCGTCTTGGTGCTATCAATCTTTAACATATTTTGATTTTGTTCGCACTTTCTTTCAATTTAAGGGAGGTAGCAAAGTCTGGGCTTTGGTGAGACAACCATACATTAATTAGCCCATCAACAGTGTAGTTGTCGTCGCCAGTCGTGTCCACAGGATTTAAAGTACATCTGACGAGGGACAGGTCAGGCACAAACAGTACTGTCGAGAGTTGTGGGAATTCGAATTATTGTGCTCTAGATAGACTGTAGACATAAGACTGACTCAAACCTGTTTCCTTTGATCTTAATCGTTTTTCACCGCATTATAACAACTAAATACTTGCACCTACAGCTTTAATTTGCTATCATCAATTGAAGATTCATTAGTTATCACTTGAAATAGTTTTACATAGCAATTCGATATCGATAGGCAGGGAGACGAAATCATACACTGACTTGTGCATATGGAGTCGGTAACTCATTGGAGAAACAGTCAGACGCCGTCACGCTTAGACTGGACATTTTTAAACGAAAAATTCCTAGTTGATAATCTCTCAATCCTGGCAACCCTGAAGAGAAGCGATCACGCCATGACAGCTTTCTGTTTTATCAGCAAAACTGAGCTAAGACATCCCACCCACAGCGGGAAATGGAATTTCAAACGATTGAATGTTTCAGATTACAGGACTATCTACAACACGTGGATTAGGATGTTCACCCTCAACTTGATGTAGATACTCACTGGGACCTCTTACTGCACACGCTATTACATGCTACAAAGTAGTCTGTCCCTCAAATGTTCCCCAAAATCTACAAGCAGCCTACGGCCATCAAGAACCGCACTCTTCGTTTGCTAAACCGCAAAGGGCGTTGTTGGGCAGAGTACAAACGAACTGATAAGAACGGCGCGTACAGGTGATACAAACATATAAGGAACATATGGACAAAGGCAACAAAAGAAGATAGGCTTCAGTATCAGATAAAGCTCATCGATAAATTTGTCTTCAATCCGAAAAGCTTATCCCGTTATGCAGCCTTTCTTCGTCAAGCCAAAACTGGAGTTTCCCAGAGGCTAGGTCTTAATAGCCCGACCAATAACGACGGTCATGCCGCTAACCTTTTGGCTGAACAATACTCTCGTACATTTCGACCGACCCACGTTAATCATATTGATCAAAGCTTCATCTGCAACTGAACAGGACATTCCGATGTGAACCTGAGCGCTGATTTGGTGTACCGGAAACTGCAGCACCTAAGAAAAGACACTTCCCCCTGGTCCGGATATGGTTCATTCTGTTATACTGAGATAAGCAGCTTCAATCCTGACAACACCGCTTAGCGCGATGTTCTCACATTCGCTAAGTCGAGGCAAACTACCGGGAAATGGGAAACGGGCTCACATCACACCAATTTTCAAAGGAGGTCGACTCAGCGAATCTTCATGCTACCTACCGGTGGCTCTTTAAGGAGTCCATGATATGCGACAGTACACACGACTATTTATTATCCTCAAACTTCCTTCCACATCAATAGCTTGGTTTCAGGAAAGGTCATTCTTATATAACCAACCTGCTGACTGTGGTAGACAGATGGACAACCATACTTTATTGCAAGGGGAAAGTTGTCGTCATTTACCTTCTCAAAAGCCTGTGATGGGGTCAACCATATATGTCTTATCAACAAGCGCAAACCATTGGATATCAAATCACCTCTAATTGACTGGCTCACTTCATATATAAAAATCCACATTTTAAGGTCAGGGTTAACTTCACTTTCTCTCGGGCTATGGAATGTCCTAGTGGTGTCCCCCGGGGCTCAGTACTAGGACTTCTCTTATTGATCTATTTAGACAATCTCCCACAACAGGTATCGTCTGACTTATTACTTTTTGCAGATGATGTGAAACTTTGGGGAGAGATACGCAACCAAGAGGATATACTGGCACTTCAGGGGGATTTGACTCGACTTCAAAGTTGGGCAGACGACAACGGACTTACCTTTAACACTTCAAAGTGTAAAGTAGTCCATCTGAGACATGTTGCAAACCACAGTTACAACTTTGGAAACTCCTCTCCAGAAGTATCCTACGTTGAAAAAGATTTAAAAGTTCTGGTAACCTACGATTTGAAGTCTTACGCTAACTGTGACAAAAATGTCTTTCGAGCAAACCTTGCTTTGGTAACGTTGAAGTACATTCTTGGCCAGTTTAACGTAAGGTCTTTCCACATAATCTTCAACAGTTTTATTTGTCCCCATCTAGACTACGGAAACATAATATTCCCTCCTACACTCCAAAAGGATAAGGACACTCTGGAACGTATCCAACGGCGAGCCGTGAAATCAATTTGAGAACTCAAATTCAAGCCTTATGAAGAGCGCCTCCATTCACTTAACCCTTACCCATTAGACTATAGGCGTCTTAGAAGAGACCTGCTAATGGCTTACAGTATCCCAAACATTTCTGAACACCTACTTAAGTTTAGCTCCAGCACAAAACTAAGGAGTAACACTCAAACCCTAGAGACACGACACAGCAGAACGAACTGTAGACACAACTTCTACTCCTTAAGAGTTTTCAAATGCTGGAATTCGCTGCCGGCTGATCTAGTCCAAGCGACTTTCCATAAGTTCTTTAAGAGGCAACTTGACCTATTCTTAAGGACTAAGGATAACATCTTACTATGGTTTACCAATTTCTTTTTCCTCTATTATCGTTAATATACCTAGGTTCCTGCATGGAAATATTGGTGATCCACTGCTACTAGACACGGAAGCTCGTTAAGCGTAAGCTTCTATTCCATCCACAACCATTTGAACCATTTGAATCGTTAGTTTTAGGTACATTCATAAAAATGTTGCGACTAAATTTATCTAAGAAGCACTCTCTTTGATGCCTAAGTGTGATAACTTCTCATTGTGTAAAGTTGGTAGTCTTTGCATACAAAAATTGATCAAACTAGAAATTTTACCATGCGAGGGGAAATATCACTCTTTTTAGATAACATTTAGAGTGTTATAGTTTCTAGTTCATATTGTCATTAGATTGCCTTGAGCAGCTCTCCCAAAGTACTTTAAGTTAATTAACTTTTTTTACTTTTTTCCTATTGTTGATGAATATCACGCTTTGTTTTAATTTGTCTACTCACTTTCAAAGCTAGTCTGACGCTAGGTCTTTTTGATATGTTGGACGAATCATGTGAATCATCTGACGGATTAGATAATATTTTTTCAGATGATTTCAGTAAAATCTCTACCTTAGAAGAGGCAGGAGGACTGCCTACATTGTGTGGCATCTGTGAGAAGCCATTTACTAACCCGGTTATTCTGAGTTGTTTGCACATATTTGACCGTGATTGCGTCCGAAACTTCGAAAAAAATGATAGCATGGTACCTTACACTAAATGCCCACGATGCGATACTCTATCTGGGAGTGTCAAGACTCTGGAAGCTTATGATTTATCTGTTGCACAAACGCGCTCTGAAGGGGACGGCTCCCATAAAGTGAGTGGTGCAACTGTTAAGTGTTCAGTATGTACTGATGGAAACGATGCTCTTTACCGATGCCTACATTGCGCAGGAACATTGTGTGAACGGTGTCGGGATATTCACAAGGTTTGTTTCACACTTGATTATCTAAAATATTAGGTTATGAAAGTTTTCTCAAATCACGAAATACTTGACCTAACTGAGGAAGAAAAGGGAAATGCGGAGATTTTGCAACGCAACATGCTGAATACTAAACCAGTCATATGCACAATTCACCCAGAATCAACGTTTACTTCATTCTGTTTGCAGTGTCATGTAAAAAACTAATCCTAAATGATTTTTCCTTTTTAGATTCCTCTTTGTGAAATGTGTTTTGAGTGCGAACATAAAGGACACATAACCATCCTTTTGGAGTTGGTACCCACACATATAGACTCTTTACTGTCAGATATGGTCGAATGTTGTCGGTCAAGGCAAAAAGATTTCCGTGACTCTATTGAGATGATGCATAGTTTGCTTTCAGAGTTAAGTTCATCTAGAGATGCCAACAAAACCCTGATAAATAAAACGTGTAAACAGTGGATAACATCCATAGAACGAATCAAGGTGAGTAAGCTAGATACAATTTACTTTCTTCTAGGATCAGTTCATCCACAAAAACAGAGAAATCCATGACGAATTGGAGATGAAAATATGGTCACGAATTAACACTATGAGCAAGACTGTAGACCATGTAGATTTTGCGTGTGACTTTGTAAAAGTCTACTTAAAAAAATGTTCCAATATTGAAATATGCAAGCTCTTTAAAAATGTGCTTGCTTGTTTTGACAAATTATCAAAGCAGCAAGTTATCAATGACCCTTCAGCTAAAGTTGTTTTCTCACCAGGATTATCAACTTACGATGTTATCCATCAACATTTCGGTACCTTCAGCTTTACCAATGGATTAGACCAAGATTTGCAACAGGTGTCTGATTCTGTGTTGGAAGGATTTCCAGCCTCAAACTCCCATATATCTGTATTAAATAGTGTGGGTGATATAGCTAACGATCTCAAGCAACTGACTCTCAAGGTTGATGGTCACATGGATCCTGATCCTCTTGCGGGCCTGGATCATTCAGCCACAGTGCATTTACCACCAGTTAGTCTGGTACAACAAGACGGTACGTGTGAAAATATCAATCCATCGGCAGTTGGCAACGGGAATATGAATAACTACATATCGAGGTCTAGCAATTCAAGTGCTCCTGGACGCCATAATAGTAACTGGTGTGATTTAAATGTTACTTTGCCAAGTCTTGAGCCGTCCGATTTCTTGTGTAACGTAACACAAGTCGACCCAGTTTTCAGCAATCCGTTTATCACTACAGACAACCTGAGGACCCCAGGAAGTAATGTATCAACATTAGATGTGGATTCTAGTCTTATTTTAAAGCAAAAGCTTCCTGTCAACTATAATGCAACCTTGTACGAATACAGTCGAATGAGAGCGGCTCGCTGTTCACAAATGAATCTCTTGACGAAGTGGGGTTCTCTTGGTTGCGAATTAGGACGTCTGAATTCTCCCCATGGCTTTTGTCTGGGTTTTGAGGAAGAGATAGTTGTTGCTGATACATACAATCATCGAATTCAGGCAAGTCTTTTCCTAACTTGTTAACCTTTCATAGATATTTACAAAGCGTGGTGACTTTGTATCATTCTTTGGAGTCTCTGGTAGAGTGGATGGCTTAATGTGGTATCCGCGTAAAGTGGCAATTATTAGACAGAGCCAACGATATGTGGTGTGTGATCGTGGGAACGAGCGATCTCGTATGCAGCTGTTTAGCCGGAGTGGTCATTTTGTACGACGTATCCCGATTCGGTACATCGATATTGTTGCAGGGCTAGCAATCAATCAACATGGTATCTCGTTTTCTATCCTTTTTACTTTGCAGGACACATTGTTGCTATTGATAGTGTTTCGCCATCGGTTTTTGTTGTATCAGAGGAAGGTGATCTAATTCGTTGGTTCGATTGTAGTAACCACATGAGAGAACCATCAGATGTCGCGATACATGGTCGCGAGTACTATATTTGCGATTTTAAGGTAATATTTTGGTCGATTAAATATGTATTTTCAGGCACATTGTGTCATTGTTTTTCAGGAGGATGGGTCCTTTATTCGTCGTATAGGTGGAGAATCAATTACTGACTTTCCAAACGGTATAGATGTTAGCGACCATGGAGATGTACTAGTTGGAGACTCGCATGGAAACCGTTTTCACATTGCTGTGTTTAGTCGATCAGGGGAGCTTCTAAGCGAATTCGTTTGCAACCAAACAAAAGTCAGTCGCTCATGCTGCTTGAAAATAACGACTGAGGGTTATGTTGTTACGCTTGCACGCAGTTCTAATAATGTTCTGGTCCTCAATACTTTATATATATGTTAACTTTGATTCCCAGCCGGTTACTATTCACAGCACAGCCAGCATACTTCCTAAGGTATCGTTCTTCCACTCACTCATAACATCACAATGTTTTACTGGAAATCATATTTGGTTTTACAAAGTATTCACTGTCCGTTTTTGACAGTTTCTAGCTTTCGTGCTTCAAGAGTCATTTTCCCCCGTAAGTATTTCGGGGTGCTCGTGATAATTTTTTTTTCAATTTACAGTATGTATTTTCGGTTTATTCATGTTCATTTTTTTCTTATCAGTTTTGTGGACTCTAGTTTCAACAGAGTTCGGCCTTTTCCCATATTTATATTGATTGTTATTATTACTATTATTTATTATTATTATTTATTATTATTACTATTATTATTATATTGTTATTATTATTATTATTAATATTTCATTTCTTGGCTCCGTTTACGGTTTCAAAAAACCATCGAAAAATTTAATTTTACTGAATATTTTTCGGTCTTAGAAACATTAGATAGCATTTTATCTGGATTGTTTTCATGGTATTTTTGCAATATTTTTGAGATTACGGACTATTGTTTTTTTCTTATTGTATCACTTATTTAGTCTCTTGTTACTTAGTTAGTCTAGTGCATTAAATCCGATTTATTTTCGGTGGTGCACACTAATGCTCGTATGCAGTATATTGAATTATTTTTCCAAGTGATTACACACGTGCCTTTCATAAATTTCTTTACATGACAATTAGCTGTTTTCACAACCACTTTTACCCTAGTGTTGTGGTCTCGAATTGCTCATACTTCAGGCTCAGGCCGTTTTCATAGTTCTCAACATTCTTTTAATGGTCATGCATTTGTTCCGTTGTTTTTGGCTCCTTAAGGGATGTCTTAATAAGTGATTACTTTCCTTATCCATTCCGTTTTTCTGCATTAATTGCCGATTATTTCTTTGGTCCTATTGACAATTATGTACCAAAATCTCAGAGTTTAATCTTTTTTATTCGTCACTGTTTCACTTTTGCATTATAAGGCGTTTCATTTTTGTCTTTCTTTAAAGCTCCAGAATAATAAGTCATGTTTTAGCAATAATGATTCCATTTTCATGTTTTGAAACGTACAATTAATGTCATTTTTTTCTTTAGAAGGTTCTGTAACAGTCTATTTCGAAGTCTATATTGTGGCTTGTATTTCTCACCTGTTGATTTATTACATGTTTTCTTTATCCTAGTTTTTAATATCAACGAATGTCACGTAGCGGCTGTCGTTTTATTGTGGTTGGTTTTTGTGAGTAGATACCTTACTTTCTATGACTTGTGCTTATCCGAATGATGTATTGTTTGTAGTAGCCCGTATCTTGGTTAGTAAAATATCGGTGATCTTGCCAGCTGCTATTTTCAAGATCATGACGCGATCGATGTTAGACCACTATTGAAAACCTGGGATGATGATCTAACGGTGGTTGGTTCATCTAAATTAAAACTCAACTATATCCACAACCTTCTACTGATTTTTTCGAGATGTCGGAATTGAAATTATAAAACATGAGAAAGTTTATACTGCATTAGGACCATACTGAGTACAGTAGTCGCAGCCACTGATCAGGAGTTTGGCTAATAGGAAATATTACGAAAATAGATAATCTTGCATGTGTTACCGCGGCTCCTTTATCAAAGTACATCATTCCAGTCACGAGTCGAGACTTTTCCTAGCCTACTATGGTCTAAAATGGTTATTCCTGTCATTACGTATAACTTAAGTGAAAATGCCTTAGGCCGTCATACCTGTAGAAAGTAGGGCTGGGACTTGACTGTCGGCAATCTACACGGAAGATGTAGTTTACCTCGGAAGCGGTTGTGAGTCAGATGTCTTGACTTGATTTGGTCTGGGTAACTTTTGTCGTGTGCTAACTGAAGAAAAATAAGAGCAAGTGTAAGTAACCTAATTTGAGAAAGTACGTTCTAATAAGATAAAATTTATCGAGGATGCCTTTATCCTAATATTGGTCACTAGTAACGACCATAGCTAGTCGTACAACACGAGCGTAGAACGAAAGGGTTTGACCGTGATAGATCCGTAGTTTGTTGGCGGCTATTATTATTTGCTAAACGGGAACTTCAAACCGGAATGGCGATCGTCGTAACCAACTGTTAAGGGCCGGATAGGATGGCTCATGATCTCTTGCAATGGTGCAGGTCTACTGTTGTCGTCTAGAATTTAAGCTTTTGGATTTCTGGTAGCTTTTATTTACTCTACTGATTTATGTTCTTAAACTGTATTTCCGATGTCTAATCTTTTCAATAACTCATACTGTTACTGCATCTACTGTGGGATTTGTCCTACAGTTTTACCTCGTCCTAATGCAGTATGGCGACTTGAATTAATGTCGCAACGTACCAGGTTCTACGTTGCTTTTTACTGACTGAATATTAAACCACAATAGTATTTGTAGAAATCTGTGGTCTGGACTCAAGTGAAGCTGTTTCACAATAATATCAGTGAGTTACGCTGGGAGTAGGTCTGTGATTATCCAATTGAGTAGTTTATTTTATGCTAGTTGGTCACCTAGCATTTACCATTGTAATGTTTCGTTCTAAGTGCCTGTACGATCCTACCGTTTCAGTCATAGTGGAATCACCAGTTCAAATAGTGCGATATCTGAGGTGAACTTGGATGTCAAGGATTCGTAAAAGGAAATAACCACGTATCTAAATTTGACAGTATGCTCGTATTCACCAAAAAAATGTGTAATTTTAAGACACTAATACAAGTTCGTAACTGATACGGGCTAGAATCTCCTGGGGTACATCAGTCGAGTTATTGACGACCCCCAACCAGTTCGGACTTTGTCTCCAAGGCATAGTTTACTTATTTTAACACATAGGTATTGGTACAAGGAGGCACCAAATACATATGCGCCACACGAATCTCAATTGATTTGTGTGAGGGCTGTGATACTGCTCGGGTGCCCAAACCGAAGCAGGTGGTTTTCTTAGGGGGCCACACCCCGAGCCTTTGACCTAAAAATCTAGTCCACAAGGCAGTGGGGCATCGTGAGGAGATGCAGTCCCATGGTAGCCGGTGACCAACGATTGGTTCATACGCCATTTGTTCCCGCAGGATACTGGAGCCCATGTGCACCAATGGTTTGGGGTCCGGTTAAAGCGCCGGACATTCGCTTTTCGTCCTCTCATTTTCGTAAACAACACCCCCGCCACGAGAAGGCAGTGAGTAGGACTTCCCTGGCAGAGGCTATGTACGCCTGGCCATGTGAGAGTATTTCGAGAGGGAGAGAGGACTCTCTCCACTCTCGGCCGTACCAGGGCATTTGGGGGCCCATTACCTTGAAGCACTTACCACAATCATCTTAGTTTGTTAGAGTCAAGAAATTCTATTGATTATGTAAGAAGAGAAGTGTGAACGATCAATTTGTCACAGGTGTTTCTGACATGGTTAGTGAAACTTGGTAGTCGGTATACATTGTATCTAACCATTCATGATATTCAGTAGTACTTCATGTAGCGAAATATTAACTTTACCTCCTTCGTTAGTTGCTTAAAACTGATACAACAGTATTTCGTGCAAACTGGCGGCAAGAACTAGTTTGCGAAATATTTCGACATGAAGTTCATTTAATGTTCGTAAAAGTTATTTATGTAAGAACAAAAATCTCCGATTATGTTAATGTGTATAGCATAAAAAAGTTCGTGATATGTGCTTGCGACAGTATGTTCACGTCGAGTCTCAAGTTCATGCAACCAAACAGTATGCTAATGTAAGTATTTACAGAGTTTTTTATATATTAGAGTATGCACATACAAAACCAATGAGCATCAAAATTGGTTTGAATGGTTATGAATTTGGCCTAGTTATCAATTGGGTTTGTTGCTTTCATTAGGAAGATAGTTTATTATTGTTAACGTAATTGGATTCGTAGGGTATATGAACTAGTGTTTTGCTCTTTTACTATCTAATACAAACAACTATGATCTAAATGTACTTATTTAATATTCGTAAGACGGGGATGTATTTAAATAAAAATATAGGTTTCAGTAAAATAAGAAAATACTATTGCAACAATCTAACTATCGAAATTATGAAGTTGTATTCGTGCTAAATGGAATCTCGAAAATTCAGATATTAGCAGAAACAGGTAAAGTATAAATCTGAATTTAAAAGAATGCAAGTCACTTCCATGTTGTATATTCTGAATTGTGTATCCTTTGACCCTGTATGTATCATCTGATTGTTTTCTAACAGTTGTCAGTCAGTCAGTAACAACGTGGAACTTCGTACGTACGTACATCAGTTCGAGTTGCCATACCACATTAGCACAGAGATTCAGTTATCGATTCAAATCCCATAGTGGTAGAGGTACTGAAAGTATAAGTAGAGATAGGGGACATTAAGGTTTGATGATGTTATTAAAGGAGTATAGTCCAGTGGAATAAATTGGGAAAGAAAATAAAGGACATGAAGAATTCAGAATATTAGAGTTTGAGAGAACACAAAGAGTGGATGCACCTGCGCCATTGCAAACGATATTGAGCCATGTCATTCAAGGTCTCTAACCATCGGTTGCTATCGTCTCGCGGTCCCCAACCAGGTAGTCTACACCTACCAACATGACTCAGTCCACTTGTCAGTGACTTCATGGATTTGTGCCATGTTTTTGTCTGACCGCCCCTAGCTTTCTTCCAACCTACTCCCAGGATATACGAGCAATGTTTCGAAGACACGTATGGTCAAATATCAGTAACCTACGAATATCCTCTACTCTTACCGGCCATGTTTCACTGCCATAAAGTAGGACGGAACGAACTGCTGCGCAGTAAACCCGTCCTTTGGTTGATAGACGGATATCTCGCCTACGCCACAAATGACGCAAGTTGGCAAAAACTAGTCGAGCCTTTTGTATCCGTGCTGAGATTTCGTCACACACCAAACCACAAAGGCTGATGAGACTCCCAAGATAAGTGGAGCGGTCGACACGCTCAACTACTTCACTCCCTATCACTAGTCCGGGTGTCG